TATTGACACATTCTTTCCTGGAAATCAATGTTCTAATTCATTGTTCCATCATGAGGAATGAAAAAAATGACATTCTTTTGAGGATTCGTTTGTCCACAAACAGATTTATTTTCCTTGTATCTAGATATTACATAGAATAAACAAACTTTAGCCAAGGAGAAAGGAATCAATTCTGTTGAGAAACCTACTTTCAACTGAATAACTCTTGGTGCTTATTACCAAATATTCAGTTCTTGTTTTAGAATTAAAATCACTATCTCGGTTTCCAGGGTGAATAGTACGTTTTTTTAAGAAAAACATCAGTCGGGGAAAAGTGTTTTGTGCTACTTTGGCAGCAAAATAGAACAAACTGAAACACGCGTGTTTTCAAAAGTTTTGAAACTGTTTGTAGTGAGATAAAAAAGGAACTTTTCGGATTTAACATCGAGTTTAGTAAAGAAAACAAGTTGAAAGCAAAAAAATGGATTGAGGTCAAAACAACAATAGAAACAAAACAACAAAAAGTGATTGCAGAAATCGAGGAAAATCACAAAGAATTATTTCAGTCTAATCGATATTTCATCTCGGTTTGTGAAAGGTCCCAAATTACCTCCATCATACGAATATTACATTGATCTGAATTCAATCCAGAGTCCTCTTAGATTTATCGAATTTCGGTCAGTTAACTAGAAAAGTGATATTTGAGTAGCTTCATTCTCTTTCAGAAACGAGATTTGATCGCGGGAGCTATGAGGATTACTTTGTTAACTTTATTGCTCACTGTTAAAAATTTATTTTTTTCTTTGTGAATTAAATATCTATTAAGTTCATAGTATCAAGCTTGTGTGTGGGTTTCACTCCTTGGGAGGTCTTTAATTCCCCACGAGGGAAATGCATTCAAATGCGATGGAAATGTTCGTGATGACCGCCAAAAAGCCTTGGACAGCTGTTTCGTTCTGTATTTTGGGACTCGTCAGCAGTGCGTACGTTTTGCCTCCCTGTCAGGACCCGAACCGTGATCAGTCGGGCCGGGACTTCAAACCCTTACCCCTGAGCTACACGGCCGACTGTTATCACCTTGTGCGAATGGCTCAATCAGTTTAGAGTATCAAGCTTTGATTAGCCCATTTGATTGTTACGAGGCACCAGGGACACAAAAAGTACGCACTGCTGATGTGTCCTAAACAGGATGGTGCTTTCACAAGGACGTTGTGGGTTATTCCTAAATCGGGTGTAATTTTTTCTGTGGGAGAAAGCTTAACTTGGTATGACAGAACACACACTTGAGAGCTTAGTTCTCAAAAATGATTGGGAGTAAGACAGCCTGAGAGACAGGAGGATGCCGCATTCACAGGCATTTCACTCGTACCTTGGCTAGTGCATTCTGCCATGTTCGGACATATCGCTGATTGGGTAGGTTACTTAAGTTATTTTGTTAAATTTGGTCAAATTTATCTCCTTTCGTTGACATCACTGAAGTCTATGCTGGAACACATATGAATTGTTAATTCTGATTGACCATATTGCGCAATGATAAACACTGTAGTAACACAGTAGTAGTAGAATCGCTGAATCCGGAGCTTAAATCAAGGAGATAATGACAAATATCCTCTCCTGAAACATGGTACATGATGATTAAGTCGAAAGAGTAGTCCAAATGGATGTCATGAATTCTACCCCACTACTCATAAGTAATTTTGGGATAAATTGGCCCAATTTTTTCCGCAAATCGCATGAATGTATCGTGTATCTCGCGAAACGAGCACAAGTGAGGATGAACATTGTAATTCGGCCAGACGAATACGCACATAAAATGCACCGGGTTCACGAACCTCACAAAAACGAACTAAAACATGAAGTGAATTTCGCAGGATGGGACCAGCGAAGATCAGAGTTTAATCAAGGCAGATGTGGATTAACTTCACCGGTCTAGCGTATACAGTCAGTCACAATTTGGTAATCTGTTCTCGGAATCAGCTCTATCAGAATGGATATGTGTTTGTCTTTCGAGGGACACACAATGTGACCACTGAAAAAATATGAGCCATTTTCCGAAAATTCGAGGAGGGATAACAGAACAATGCACGATGTCTTGCACAAAGAAATAAAGAGTTGACAAATATTGTTCATCTTTCTTGGAAAAACCCTTAAGAATTTGATGCCTAATCTATAAAAACGTGAAATATTTCATTCAACTAATTCCCTTTAAAATTTTCATCAGAGCACCATAATGAATTCAACTAGNNNNACGTTGCAGTTGCAAGACCTGTGAACATACATTCAGATCACGTTCGGTCTCAAAAGAGCTACACGGGTTTTGGGGCAGGTGAACACACACACACACACTAGCAAGAGAACCCATTGATTACGGTGACACAAGGTCACTAAGTCGAACGCGAATCGAACGCGGTGTCAGGGAGCGCGGCTATTTCAGAGGGGGAGGACAGTAACATCCACCATAGCATGACAAGGCTGTCCACGAATTCAGTCTGATTAGACAAATCGGGCTTGAAATGTCAAATCGCAGGTGCCTCGGCGAAGCGTATTACACGGCTACCCGTCTCGCGGATCAGGTTATAAAAGCCGCTCCTAGGTTTGTTATATTCCTTGCAATCCAGGATAGGACAGGCGATTGAACTGGACGTGAGCATGGACTCGTGAAACGTTAACTTATTCGGTACAAGTTCTATTATCCTTGTAGACAATCATATCTCAGTTCTCCGGGCTTATTTACTATTGCAAGCACATTGAGAAAGGTCAGCACAGGAGGAGGTAACGGAAGAGTCGGGTATGTCTAGTTTGGAATCTGTAAGCATTTGTTTCGTGTCATGCAGTAGTATAAGTGAGGCAGCGTTGTAGTTTCTTACAACTGCCGGTTTCAATTACTGTATCCGAATATCATTTTTATCATCTTTAAACGGTACGGTGACAAAAAGCTTTTTTTCAAGGTACTGTCACTCTGTTTTCGTTTATTGAACGATGCAGTATATCTTGCAATAAACTTTCTAGGAAATCCATTTATGTGTATTGCAGACTGGTTTGCAGCGAAAATTGAACTCTCCTGTTGTGCGTTTGCCAGTTCCCAAACCTGTCACTCCTTTGACTAAATGTGATCTGAATAAGTGTGTACACAGCTCATGATATAACTACATCAGTTGTTGAATTCAACACATCCTGTGATTGCTTTTTCTTGCTCTCACGAAAACGTAAAGTACATGCGCAATGTGAAAATCGTGTTGGTCATTATTGTAGTTTAAGTTCTTGTAAGATTACACCAGTCATTCGACCAAGCTAGATTTACCGATTAATTCGCAATTCCTCACCCCGAACCTCGGTATAGACTACTCCTGTCCATAAGGAAGTGGGGCCAACCCAAGCGTGCGATTCACGCAACGAGGGTTCTACCACCTTCAAACGGAGTTGCCACTTGCAGGACACCCAGCCTATGAAACTAAATTATTGATTATATACCGAGCAATGGTGGAATCACCTAATGGTTCGTTCAGAATATGCTTTTACTCATTCCCTGAAATAACTTAATGATCAGCGTCTGGTACACCTGGTTAAGGCTTAAGAAAACCAGTTTGCGGTAGAACATATAGTTGGAGGGATTGTAATAATGCTGGACAGTGAATCGTTTTCACTGGCACAAAGCGAAGCTGACTGGAATTCAAACAGCTTTGTTCGAAGGGAAAGCAGGAAGAGACTTGCGATGGACGACAGCTAAAAGATATACTCTCAGTCCAAGCCGTTTGAATGTGCCCGAGAAATTAGGCCGACTAGCCGGATTGCTTGGTCATTTTGCGTTTCAATGTTTCCAGTCAGCCATCGTTTCGATTTGCCAAACTCATTTCCGATCAGAGAAAGATAACTTTCCCAGTCAGACTCACTATCTGCTCACTCTTTTCCGAATCAGTTATCTGCTAAAGTCACGAAGTACTTCAACCCCCTAAACAAAACCGCCATTCCTCAGTTTCTCTGAAATCAAACGACGAGACAGTAGATGATTTGCCTCGGGCATGGCCCGACAGCTACCGTGTCTGCTCACGTTAATTCATTTTGACAAATCCTCCGGTCTGCTCCGTCTGTTCCATTATAGGGCGCGTGATGCATCGCATAAGTCAGGAAGGATTGCAACATCAGTTCCTTTTTTCACTAAGCAGTTTGTATTGAATACCTCAACCATGAAAGAAAGCATATTCCGAAAAAAGAAGTATTCTATTCAGTAAAGCATTTCACGAAATAGTCTGAAAATTAACAGAACTTCATAAATGTCTAGGGGAAAATTCAAAAATCATGGTAACGAGTGAGGGAAACTTCAGGGAAATTGTGTTTGCCTAATAAGTTTGTGCACCCACAATTCTAATCAACAGTTCATGTTCACGCAATCCAGCGCCGAATTCCAAACCAGTTCGTTCACATTTATGCTGGGTGCTGTCAAAACATGGATTAGCCAGTAGGCTGCTCGTAGTTTACGGTGAATAGTATGCGGGTCAAGATGAATAGATAATCAACGCAGACTATTTATGTTGCCAGTAACCGACTGGATTCAGATGGATCCTACTGGGTAATTGTGGTCCAGTATCTGCCGAAATGTTTAACCGTTGTCCCCTTATGGAGGCTTCCTATATGTGTATAATGGTTTTTTTCCGACGAATGAAGGGGTTAGCAGTAGCGTGGCCTGACATGACTTTGTCAACATGCTATTCCCTGGATTGATCACTAAGGTTTTGTACGTCTCCCAATTAGTGACCATGAGATCAACCGCACGCGAGGGAAAGGTTTCCAAGGATAGGAATCAACTATGCATCATGACGACTCCAGTGAATCCATGAACCTGATATGTACATTGGGTCCCGGCGTGGGTAAAAACTCCTAGAAGCTGGTTTTGTTTTCCCTTCTGCTTGCGAATAAACAATTATCATTTGATTATTCATTGTGCAAACTCAAATCCATCTCCTACACCCTGCTTGCAACTCATAAACCTTACCCACCTTTTCGTCTCTGTTAACCTCCCATAAATGTCGCATAGTATCGTTCCTACAGAACAGCTGGATGATTATCTGGAGGCCCTGATTCATTCACCTCTGCCGGTGGTCAACTTACAAAGTCTTCAGTCGCAAGGTACTGCACTTAATCCCGAGGATTCTGTAGCCTTTGCCACCAGTGTCGAATGGGAAGTGAAGCAAGTCGCATTGCCTCAAATCTCGGTCGATGAGTCGAGCGAGGATCGTGCATCCCGAGTGAGCTCATCCTGTCAGCCGACTTCACCACACTTGGTTCGTGTGGAAACAAGTGACACAAATCATGAGGTAAGTTTCTCGCTCACCTGAAACCCCGCAAATATACTTGAAATAAATAAACAAAGAGTAATTGTTAGTAAAATTTTAGACAAATCGTACTGTGGGTGCACAGTTTTTGATGTAGCACATGTTTCCCTCCGTGACTGAGTGATTGAGACTCCACCGATGATTGTTACGATCAAAGGCTTTCGGCATCGAAAATAAATGCCGTTCGTTCAATCAAATACAACAGTTTAGACTTTATAAAGCATGTATGAAAGAAACGGCGTGAAGGCCAACAGCATCCACTCGAAAAGAATTTCTTCCTCATTAGGTCTTATCAGCAATGGGTATTATCTTGATATGCCTGGCGGGATTCGACTTACAAATGTTATCTTCAAAGCTAACTGCGTGTGTGTGTGAAAAATGCCTCTATCTTAATATTATCTAACCCTTTGTGTGATCAACTATCGATCACAGTGCATCCGGTTTCCAACCGTATCGCAGTATTTTACATAAAAAGCATAGAACACCGAAGTGAAATGAGATTGGTACTCAATAATACGTCAAAAAATGTCAAAGGCGTCTATTGAGATATATTCGAGGCAGTGAAAGACCTTTCCATTCAGCTAGTGTTCTCAAGATTCTTCAAAGTGTCCCAATTTCGTTTGTAGCATGCACATTTGAGCACTCAGCTTCTAATCAGTGGGCTTGATTAACTGTCTCATTGGGTGCATAAGACCAAGGGTCAATCCCGAACAGCGGACCAATAATCGACGCACCAGCGAACAAAACACTGAACCGAAACCCGAAGACCTTGCGGGAAAAGTCACCAAGAGCTCTCGTATAGCTGCTTTGGTCTCTCTCCCGCGTTGGATCTATACCACATCACCTTCAGGGTTAGACTTTCGAGTCCAATTCCCTGGTTAGAGTTTTTAAAGAAAGAAAACCATAAATTTCCGCTGCCTTGAGGGCCAGACTGTTGAGTCAAAAGCTCCGGTTGGGGTTCCCAACAAGTAAAATCCCTTCGTCGGTGTGGACTGCCGCTAAGTATGCTGTGCCCCAAATTCTTAGGCACCCATTTGGAAAACCCTCATTCTCATCTGTCCGGTTCCACCTTTAACTCCCAAATCCTACGAGAGGTTTCCTGTTTGTACCATCCATGGTACATCACTCAATGTTCAACAAATAAGGTCAACCAACTAGAAGCTAACAGATTTTTGAAACCAGTGTCTCTCTTTCACTTAGCCGCATTTATTGTCGGCACACTATCAGATCGGTCAACGGGCTACTTTAGCTAAAATGTTTAAAACATTAAATTTAAGTTAATGCTGTCACCGAAACACCCATATGGGACACTGTTTTATTCATCACCTTGCGATATACAGATACGACCATATCGTTACGCTTAACTCTCCGTGTGTCAGGCGATTCAACATCCGTAGGTCCGCGGTGTTGCTGGTGTTGGGATTGCGCTATGTCAAGGCCCAGCGTTCACTTCTTGATTGAATTCTGGTTAATACCCGACTGTTCTCTTTACCTCTGGGTTTTTGACCATGGGTCAAAAACTATAGAACAAAGCGTCGGTGCCTATTCGTCTTATCGTTGTATGCATCGACCGATTGGAGTTGGTCGGTAGTGGAGAATAGATTCTAAAAGGACCTCCCTCAACTTCTTCAAAGTGCTTGGTTAACAGACACCGTGATGGTCGCTGAAGGCGTCCAACCTCAAAGAATCCCTGGACGAACCAGATAGTCTTATTGGCGTTACTCATGCAATTTCAGCCAACCGGACAGACAACGGAGAACGACTACTTCAACTCTGCGCTGATCACGGTCTGTTCCTGTCAAGCTAACCAGGATCCATTCAAGACTTTTGCCCTTACTGTTCAACACCTGTGGACACAGACCATGCTCTGCTGCGAGCCAAATACTCTCTACGTCTGGTAAACAACACCTAAAAGCCACTAAAAACGAATATCTACAATACTATTTTAGCGATAATTGCAAATTGGCCGATAACTGAACCATCAAAGGATTCAGTGAACACTGGACGGTAATCAGGAAAGCGATCCAAACGTCAATTAAAACAACAGTGGATTTGGATGTACGATTAAAACACAAACAAGCAAGTTATGCGACTTCGGCTGCCCAGCTGGACGCTGGACGACAAAGTGTGTTAACCCCTTAAACGCCAGCTTATCAAGAATTTGAGGAATGACAGCGAAAACTGGTGGATAAAGAATTGTAGATAGATATGGGAGACTGCGGCTATCTATAATAACCGTGATCATTTTTGTTTGATCAAGAGTAAGGGCCCAATGAAAGTAGATGTGAGTGAGGTATTTAGGAAGTCTGACTGCGCACTGATTCATATTCGGCAAAGCCTGTTCAACGATGGACAAAACATTTCAAAGCACAGTTCAGCTGATCCATGTTCACATAAGACCTCACTATAACTACTTCAACCGGGCAAATACTGTCAGTCGATATTAGTCCTCCGTCTGAAATGGAGGGTACTTGGGAAATCAGTTATCTGCAGAGGTCTCCGGTACGTACGGACTGTCCCTATCGTATTTCAAGATGAAGGTTCAGTGTTGGTCTTGGAACTGACGAAACTTCTGAGAACAGTGTCGGAGAGGGAGCAGCTTCAAAGAAATGATTAAAGGCGGTCATCATAGTGATTCATAAGAAAGACGGCAGATTCTGTTATGAAAACCAAAAGGTAATAATTTTATCCAACGTTGTCTCTTAGCGCCTCGCTGGTTTTATGCACCGTTGATTGCCTGTTGCACTGAAACAGTGCAGGCATAAGTACCAGGATGGTTTAAGACCTGGTTGAGGTTGTTTAGACCACATCTTTACTCTAGAACACAGACATTCCTTCCGTTGACCGGCCATTTTTATCTTACATGATCTCAAAGAGCGTTTCGACTCAGTCGGCCACTCTAAACCCTGACACAGTTTCTCTCTGAGGGGTTTATCTGAAAAGTTAATTTCAATTTTGCGATCTCTGTATACGAACAACCGCATTTGAGTCCGAGCTTATGGCCCTCTTTCGTTCGAGTCCACAACAGAAGGTGATTTTCTTCAGAGTGGTCCTCTATCTCCGTTTATATTTAAATTTGACATGAATGTTATTCTCGAAACAGACCTAACCTCATGCGAGGCTAGAGGCATCGATGTGCTCCCAGTAAGCAAACCATAAGATCTGGAGTACGCAAACGATATTGCGATACAGATTGAATATCCAGGTAACCTGTAAGCTTTCCAGGATGGTACGAGTGCTAGTGTATCTATGTCTGGTATGTGTTTTGCGCCATAATGTAAAATGCTACTGCAATATTGGGTTGGCCCAGCCCTCAGCCTCACTTTAACTTGGGAAGTAGTAGACAGATTTTGCTATTTGGGGAGTTATATCTCATCCGGCGGATGCATCACAGATGAGATATCAACAAGCATAAAAAGGCTCGATTGGTGTTTGCCAACTTGAAACATCTGTGGCGTCATTGCGACATCTGGCTGTCTGTGAATGATGGAAGTTATGCTGCAGCCGTTCGGCTAGTGGTAGTATACAGTGCAGACAGTTCACCATTACGGGAACAGGATAAAAATAGATTGTCGGTGTTCAAACGATTCTGCCTACGTTGAATTGCACGGAGAAACCGGAAAACCAATATTGATGTTAGGTGCACAGTTTTAGATAATCGCGATCGTCTGCTAGAGCAAGTGGTAGACATCCATAGATTACGGTTGTTGTATTGCACACGTTATCAAATAGATTGCCACAACGAGCGATGTTTGCTGGGACAGGTTTTGGGTGAAAAAGGGTCAAGGGAGGTCAAACCAAGACCTGGCACGAAAGTATGAAAACCGCACCCAGGACACTGGGCCACACAACTCACGTTAGGCTCCCTGGCTGGATACCCAAACCCAATATCATGTTTACCTGTGGTTGGAGACATTGAAAGATATGTGGCTATATGGCTTGTTGTCTCAAACAAAGACCGTCGTGCATCTACTCGCTATTCTTGCAACCCGAGTCTATATGAA